GATTGTATAGTGCTGAAAGCTTCAGCCTTCTCTTTTGATTTGTGGTCCCTTTATTTTTAGCAGCCTTCGCTCTTCTTTCGCATTTCGGCCATGCTAAAGGCAGTACTTAGCACTGAGTGCAACGGAAATTGAAAAGGCAAGTAAAGAGAGAAATGCTACGGAACTCAGAATGTGCCACAACTCTCCTCACAAGCTACCCAAAAGATATTCTTTGGGCGATGTAGTTTTTCTAAGTATTCGTCAGCGCTAGTTCAACGTTTCCCATAAGATATTTAAAAACTCGAATATGAATGCATGCTTTGTTTCATGAAGTGGAATGTGTCAGAAGGGTTGTTTTAAGCTCGTGGTTTTCTGAGCGACGTGCGGCGTATCGCACTCTGAGCTTTCATACTAGAGCTGGCAGATGCACGGCTGACGTGCGTGTGGTCATGTCTGTCATGTCGTTTTAGCGTATTACGTATCATCCGGATCAGGAATAATCGCCATTTTTAGTCTGAACGCAAACGAATTACTTGATTCTCGTGCCAGCGGAGGCGGTAGACTTAGAACCCCGATTACCTTTTACTCTTAAAGTTAGCTATGTTTTGTTCTTTACCACCGGCACCTCAAAGGAACGAGACGAAATTTCTGAAACTGTTTTCCAAATGTTACCAAACTATCATTCTGTTTTGGCTGTTTTCCGACTTTGCGAGTGAACAAATAGAAGCACCGCCTCGTAGAAGCACCGCCCACGCCCGCGCCCCGGCCCTCGCCCCGCCCCGCCCCGGCTCTCGCCCCCCACCCCGGCCCCCGCCCCCGCCCCCGCCCCGGCAGGTGATTCATAGCTTACCTGCGTTAATTCGGAACAGCTCTGCCGGGCTCCCCGTACGAGCCTCTTAAGCCCCGCCGGATACGAGGCATCAGGCCATTTTGAGAAATATATTAGCAAACGTACCACGAACCGGGTAACTTATAATGACTGTCAGCAAGGCCAGCATCCCGGTCTCACGGAGCGGAGAGGAGAGTAAATACTTCATCTTTTGAAGATAATGATGATGATCGGGCTAAGCACTCTCAGCCATCAACCACGCCATTATCACACAAACAGCTTCTATTAAGCTTTGTCGCAGCTCGTGTTAAATGACGCCCAGGAATCTCGAGAGAGTTCGTTCACCGGCGCCGCACCCGCCCCCTCAAGCCGCGGCCTGAGCGCGCCCCTGGCCTCGGACTTTCACTCCGCCGTGCGGAGCCCGGGCCGGTCGCGCCGTCCGCCGAGTTCCGGCTTTCCGCGGACGGGTGCGGTCTCCGGCGCCGCCGCGCCCGGCCCGCGCCACTCCGTCTCGTCGGCCGTCCAAGGCGCGGCGGCGGCGCCAGCCCGCCGCCGGCCGCGCTGGCATGGCGGACCACCGGCCCTCCTGTGGGGCGGACCAGCCGCCGGCGGTGGCAGGCGTGGGAGGGCGGCGGTGGCGCCCGACTCCCGTTCCGTGGCATTTGTCCGACTCTGGATCCGCCGCCCGCTGCAACCAGACGCCCTGTCGCCGGCCACGGCAGCCTGGCCTATCACGTGTCTGACCTTTGCGCCGGTGGAAGGCGTCGATCTCTCTGCACTTTTCATTCACCGGGCTTGGGGTGTGGTATGTCTGGATAGTAGTGGGTCCCTGCCTGGTCTGGACACTCCCGCGCGGGGCATGTTTGGCGGACCTTCTAATACGCACCGAGTTGGATTCGAACTCAAAACCTTAACGCTTCACAGAATGGGCGGGATGTGATTGAGCCACTTTGCGTCTAGCCGATTCGTTGTGGCTGCTCCTGATCGGGTAGACCCTCTCAGTTCACACCAGCAGGTGCGTCTTATCCCCTTTCAACATGCAACCATCATGTGTCCGTGAAAATGATCGACTTCGGGTGTTGAATCTGTCCTTCGGCTCGGTCGGGTCCTCGCCTGTTTCTCCCAGACCTGTCCTCGCGCAGATGTTGGTGCTGAACGTGAATGATCAGTAAGCGTACGGGACTAATCCTCGCCATGAGCTCGCAGTGTCAGACGAATCCACGTCCTGCGTCCGTCCGTCCGGCCGTTTGTCCGCGCACGTCCCAAACACTGAAAGACAAATGCAACTACTGCTATATGCAGCATAGCAGAACGTGTCACAGCGGAATACAAATGAGTCATTTTCTATTCGCCGAAGTCCGCTCGCTGCGCCACAGAGACCCAACTGCGTCGCGCTTCTGGATGCCCACTCGACGAAGCCGGTGGGCCACCGAGCACTGCGACTGCACTCGGGCATTACAGCGTTCAACAAACATTTATTTACCTATTATATGAGGCTTCACCATGGCTGACCGGTACACTTGCGATGCGGGGCGATCCATGATACCGAGCTGAACGCGAATGTGGTGTCAGCGCTCAGTGACTGGATCGTTCAGTTTCAGGCGTGCCTCGTGATGGGGTAGGAGTTCACTGTTGTCCGGCCGACAGGGCTGCTTTGTGAATCGTAATTGTGTCGTGTCATCGCGGCATAACGACCTAGTGTTTGCGGCACGGGCGTAGAAGCGTTTGAAAAAGAAGGAGAACCGAATACCTTTTAGACAGATTCTTTCGATGCATTACTGTAATTTTTTCTTCGCTTTTTCTTGAATGATCATAAGGTTAATGTCAGAAGTTAATCATTAGAATTTCACGCCCATTTACTCCTCGCACTAAACGCGGGAGAGCAGTGTGGTTTCCTGTCTTCCCTCGCCGACTCATGCGTCTGTGGCTTGTGATCAAAACAACATGTGTGTTTGTCTGAAAATAGCTGACATAAACAACGAAAATCGTGCGCTCCTGGTTCTTCGGCAATATGTGTTCTAATGTTGAAAGGAACCCACTTCCAACAAGCCAGGAGACGGTGGTGAGACGCCGGCATTAGTTGGGATATACCGTGAGATTGATTAACGGTTCGGGTAGGGTTCATGGTTGCGAGTAAGCAAGGATAAACAAAGCTTAAGATCAAAAACCTTAGGCGCTTAAAGACAGAAAATCTTCCGATTCTGTATGGACTCGCGCGATACAATCAAGAGGTTTCAAGGAAATAAATCATTCCAGCTCCCGCATTTGAACACCGGATGCGCGATATTTTGCGAAGGCCTGCTCGAAGACAAGCGGCTAATGTACCCGGCATGTGCGCTTTTACGCTCGGTAGGAGCCACCGAAACCCCTCGGTGTAATCTCCGTGATTTGGGCAGACCTTAGCACGGTGCTGGGTATCGGGCGTTAGGATGCAGGACGTGCACGACTGCAATGATGTCCTTAGTGCGCTTATTTCCAGCCTTGTGCTGTGAGCGGGCCGTCCGAAACCCATCTGTGCACCCGTCTGTGTTACGAATATCCCTCAGCATGGTGCCGTGTATGGGGTGTGGGATGGGGAAGCTTGAATGACTGCTTGTTGAAATATCTCTCCATTGCAGACCACTACAGACTGTCAATGCACGGACAGTCTGTAAAGGTTTGGAACATATTATCCTCCACGTGCCTGAGGTTTTTGGATCTTAGTTTTGCCTAAACTTGCTCACTCATGGATAGAGAGCTCTTTGAATCCCGCGTGTTAATGTTACGAGCAAGACAGCATGTCAGATGAGGCTCATGTGAGCTATGAAAATTTCTAGAAACTGAGCGACCTCGCCCGAACAGGCCATCACACCCTCCTAATTCGTGTGGTACATAAGTCGTTCGGCATTCGCATGCAAACTGTTGGAGCGGTCCTTTCTTCTCCACTATTGTAACACCGCCACTGTGTGGCCTCCCCATTCGCTTAACATGAAAAATATAGCATCAATTTCCGAAAAAGCTGGACAACACGGATCGAAGCCAAGTCCAAATGCCGACGGCCCGGCGTTGCGGCGGCATCAGACAAAAACTTTCCGAGCACCGAAACAACAGACCGTCATACTGGCGATCGTGCGAGCACCGAACAACAGACCGTCATACTGGCGACGGTGCGAGCACCGAACAACAGACCATGACCATCATACTGACGATGGTGCGAGCGCCAAACGACAGACCATGGCCATCATACTGGCGACGGTGCGAGCACCAAACAACAGACCATGACCATCATACTGGCGACGGTGCGAGCACCAAACAACAGACCATGACCATCATACTGGCGACGGTGCGAGCACCGAACAACAGACCATCATACTGGCGACGGTGCGAGCGCCAAACAACAGACCATGGCCATCATACTGACGACGGTGCGAGCACCAAACAACAGACCATGACCATCATACTGACGACGGTGCGAGCACCAAACAACAGACCATGACCATCATACCGGCGACGGTGCGAGCACCGAAACAACATGCCATCATACTGGCGACGGTGCGTCGGGCGATGTGTACAGACGATCGTGCGTCCTCGTGCGCATATGTCTCGGCCCACTTAGGAGCCTTTAAAAGGATTGACGTCAAATATCAGCAATAACAGTAGATAAAGACTCCAAACCAACTGCGCGTGGAAGCTACCGGTTACGATTCATTTATGGACTTCGAAACTGCCTTGCCCTTAATGGCACCAGTAATTGACCGAAAATTACCAATGCTACACTTTTTAATTATTTTGCCATGATTGCTAGAGCCGCAAATCATTGCAAGCTTGTCAATATTGTTTATGAAAATCGCCTGGTCTTTCGAGACCCGAAGCTGACTATTTTTTCCCATTTCGTAGCTGACCATTTTTGCAGCAATGTTATTTACGGATGAACGTGCTTGCTCTACATGGCTGGACTTTCGCGCGTTAAAACCCATAATGCCGAGGCTAACTCGTGATGTAACCAAATACCATGGCACATGAAAGCAAATACGCGCCACCACCTGCAACGTGCAAGTGGCATCTGTCCGACGCACAGTGACTCGGCAGTATTTGGATGACCTCACCGTCTGGTGTGTAGCGCCTGCCTCTCAGCGGGGGCGTTGTTCTGCGCTGGCCCGGCGTGCCCGCGTGAGGGCTCGGCGCCGCGTGACAGTCTGCGCGTGGCCGACAGACCTGAAGACGTACTTCATCGTCGGCAAGCGGGAGCCGTTCGCACCGCGGTCGGAGCCGAGCTCGCCGTCCGGACGCGGCTCCTCGGCGACTGCCGGCCGGCTCACCAAGAAGGCCTGCTCGCTGCCCAGCATCATCGAGACGCCCGACACGACACGCCAGGTCAGGTCACACCAGGTCACCACCAGGGCAGGTCACGGAAAGTCAGGCCAGGTCAGGTCATGCGCGGTCAGGCCGTGGATAGGTCAAAGACACCCGGCCCATTACGCCAGGGCAGGTCACCGTCCGGTCGGGCCGTGGTCAGGTCAAAGACACCCGGCCCATCACGCCAGGGCAGGTCACCGTCCGGTCGGGCCGTGGTCAGGTCAAAGACACCCGGCCCATTACGCCAGGGCAGGTCACCGTCCGGTCGGGCCGTGGACAGGTCAAAGACACCCGGCCCATTACGCCAGGGCAGGTCACCGTCCGGTCGGGCCGTGGTCAGGTCAAAGACACCCGGCCCATTACGCCAGGGCAGGTCACCGTCCGGTCGGGCCGTGGTCTGCCACCCGGACGATGGATACGCCAAGTTTGATCCTTCTTTGTCTTAAACCAGGTGTGTAATCACCGTCGCCTCCCCACTGAAGTTTGGTCAGACGTCGCCCACACCCCTCCACACCACGCGCTGTTGGCTACGGCATGGCGCGTGCCAGCGACTGTGGTGCTGGCGGTGCCTGTTGTCGGCCGCCTGCCGACTGCCGACTGGCCGTGAGTGGCCGGATGGTGGCTCGTTCCCTGTCTTGTCAGCGATGGGTGGGCTCCCGACTTATCGGCGCCGGAGCTGTGCAATTGATACGCGCTGCTTGAACGTGTCATTCGAAGGGCGTCGGTCGTATGCGGCTTACGTACAATCAAAGCCAATGCTGACTTATACACACAGCGGCTGTTTGCTGTGCCCACTTTGCTGCGACCACTACTTTGTGAACGCAGTGCATGACGCATAACCACGTGGGCCTCGCGCCCCCTCCCCCACTCCTCCCACTCCCGTTTCCACCCTAGGCCTCCTTTCCGAGCTTTGCGCCTGCAGAAGACTGCCTTTCACGTCTCCCGCAGTTGAAATGCTGCTGTGCGCTGTAGTCTCGGGGTGGCATCTCACTGCACCACAGTCCACTGGTCGGTGCGAACCGTTCCGCGCCGCCGTAGCGCCGTCTCCACCGCTGTCCGGCGGCCGATGCTCTGCCCACTGAGGGACGCCGTCCACTGGCGCGCGGCACCGCCCCGGCGGCCGCCTCGCCAACGGCGCAGCACCCCTCCGAACCCGCCGCGCGGGTCAGGCGCCGGTCCGTGCCCCAAGCTACCACGCCGCGGTGCTTACGCCGGTCCGTACGTGGCAGTGCGTGCCACGCAACGGCCGACGGCGTCGCCTCCCTCTCTCCCCGTAAGCGGTCTTTCGGCCCCGGCGACCCGCATCCCGTTTCACCCTTTATCTTTGTGTGTTGCTTCACGGCTGCGGGGGCTCATTGTGCGCCACCTTCGGCCAGGCTACAGTGTCAAGGTCCGGCCGCGGCGGGCACGGCCAAGCCGGTTGCCGAGGGCCAATTTTTCGCAGCGCAAAGTCTTTCAAGTGCACGTCAGGCGGGTGGCTTATCCTGCCGTCAGACAAGTTATGACCCGGCGAGTGGCGGCGTGTGAGCGGGGATTGGGCCAGCGCGCGCACCGGCCCCCAGCGCCGACCGGCCGCCGCGCCGCGCGCCGCCGCGCCGCGCCGGGCCGGGCCGGCGTGCGCCTGCGCAGCCCCTTACTGAGAACTTGCGCAGCGCGGCTCCTGCTCTGGCTGGCGCGGCGCTGCGGCTGCGTGCGCGTGGTGACAGCAGCGCCGCACCTCAGCCCTGGTGCGTCGCGCACGCCGCTGAAGAGCCTGTTACAGGTGGAGGCACGCGGGCGGCCGAGTTCGAGGGAAGCGCCTGAGGAATGCACTCGGAGAGGCCGGTGGGCCGAGCGTGGCGATTAGCGAGAGGCGCGCTCCAGCGCGAGGTGCCTCTAAATCACCGATAGCGTGACGATTGCCTTTTGGGGTTTTTCATATGGTGACTTGAGGCAGATGCTGCAGATTGGCGGCCTCTCCGGTGTCTTGTCGTCACGGGGCCAGACGGAACGTGGATTTGTCCCGGTAAAAATGTCGGCGTGGGGGCGCTAGGCCCGTCGTTATACAACCGCCGGCGGTTTGTCAGCCTGTTTGATCGCAGCTAATCGGGAAAAATCCGCCAGAACTAGCTGCATTCCCCGGTGAGGAAAGTGACTTTGCATTGCCACCTGTACGAATCGGATGGTGAGTTCAAAAAGAACGCGTTCCCGGTTTCCTGACGAACTGCATCATAACCTTGATTTATGTGCGATGACCACACACGCCGGGCCCAAAGCTGCGGTGTGCTCACCTGTCCGAACATGACGTCACGGTTCACTCAGCATTTGTGGAACTTATGAGGACAGCGTATGCGCAAGCTTGCCGTCGACTCTGTCGGTACAGTGCACAACGGCCACGTGGGGCGTTGATGGGATTGCTTTTTCTCTGAAAAATCAGCGAATGGAGATTTTGTCACGGCATCCTCTAGTGTAGGTGATTTGATGCCGCCATAACTCTCGCCTGGCTCTCATGTCAACATGTGCAGTGGCTGTGGTAACTGTAGTATGATGATGCTGTATGTGGTTAAGTCTCTGCTTCTCCCTGCTGGGTACTTTTAAGCACTTAATGAAATTTAAGCGGGCGACTCAGGTATAGACACTCATGATTTCATAACGTTTTGGTTTCGTAGCTAAATCGTATATAAATACATTTGATTAAAAGATAAGAGGCAGTCTTATGGAATTACCGTTCATTTACATAAGCACTCTAAACATGCTGGTAACATCCTTCGCGTTCGTTTGCAAGCACAACACCAGTTTTTGGGATGTCAGCTATTTCCGACCCTCGAGGTGCAAGACACCAGTGTGGTATAAACATCCGCGAGATTTTTAGGCCTGAAATGGCTTCATTAATTTCCCGTGCAATCAGTGTGGTCATGTTGGCTGTCATGTTGGCTTGCTGCGACACTCTTGGCAAAGCCGGCCTTTGTGTCTCTCCCCGTGGCGTCATGCGGTGGGCCCCGATCGGCCAGCACATCCTCTTTGGTTCACCGCTGGTCCCTTGCTATAAGTAGCTGCTAATCTCTTACGATGGCTTGCCATGGCTTCACGGTGACGCCGTGACGCCATCCAGTGAGTCAGGCAGCCGTGTGGCGCTCGGTGTCCCCTCAGTCTTAACCACCCGCGACCAGCAGGCGGGGAGGAGACGCGGTGCCGAGAACCGCCGGAGCTGATACGGCAGGGAGGAGGGACGCCACGATGGGTCTCCGGGGAACGCCGACGCTGGCTGGTCGGGCTGCTCTCCCTCGGCGGTGTAGCGGATGGAGCGCCGGCCCGGACCCACAGCCGATGGCAGACGGATGGGATTCGAAATTCGTCAAGTGGGTTCAGTTCTCGCCTAAGGTGTACTTCATCGGCAAGGGGCGGAAGACTTAGCGAGCGGGCGGCCGTGAGGTTGCATTGCGTGGCACATTATAATTAATCGGCTCTAGTAGGTCGACAGGTTGGGGCAAAATTATACAATAGTTTGGACCACTTGGATGGCAGCATCAGTGCCAGTGCAGCAAGCTGCGCTGGGAAGGGACTCTGATCTCCAGTCCAGCTAAATAAATAATGCATGCGGCTAAGTTGGGAAGCGTTACAAACGCAAAAGCCAAACCACACTCCGTCGGCGTCGCACGCCTGTGCAGTACACATGCACACGTATTGCAGTGCGCCTCCCCATTGCGTGCGTCTCCGCCATCCGCGCGACTCGATTGTCGCAGCCACCCGATCTCGGGCCGGCAGTGTGCTGGCCCTCATGCCTCGTCCGTGTTGACTGCTGTGTCGGCCAGGAAGCCGTCCCAGGTGGGATTCCCGGCTTCAGTGACGGTCGCAGCAAGATGTACAGATGCCTCGTACCCGCCGTATCCGAGGCTGTATCAATACAGCTGCTCCTGGTTTTAGGTTGTGCCACCACAGCTGATCCGGGGCTGTGCCACCGCACCGGTGTGTCAATTTTTGTAACTGATTTAAGGCTGAGCCGAAGGCCTGACGACCTCCCCCCCCCCTTCCTCCCCCCATCCCCCACCCCGAGTTTTTTCAACTGATTTAGCCCGCTGTATTTTGACGAAGGACAAGTTGCATTTAATAGTCCCTAATTCAAGCAGCATTATGGTCATGCAGGGACGATTCCAGAGGAGGAAGGGTGAAGACACCAGAGTCACGTGCCCCCTCTGATCGGAAAGCAGACGAATCCAGAGGGGGAGGGGTGGCGACACCAGAGTCATGTGCCTACTCTGATCGGAAAGCAGACGAATCCAGAGGGGGAGGGGTGGCGACACCAGAGTCACGTGCCCCCTCTGATCGGAAAGCAGACGAATCCAGAGGGGGAGGGGTGGCGACACCAGAGTCACGTGCCCCCTCTGATCGGAAAGCAGACGAATCCAGAGGGGGGGGGGGGGCGGAGACACCAGAGTCACGTGCCCACTCTTGTCGGAAAGCCCCGCTAGACGTCGTCTTGGGGCGCCGAAGCGCTCTTCTATGGTGGCTTTCCGAGACGGCATGTATTTGTGGTTGGGTGGGCGGGGACAGGGTTAGCTGTGAGGAACTTGGTCATTCTCATACTCCAGAGGTGTGTAAAGTTTATTGCATCGTGTATTCGCTCAGGCGTTACAATTTGTATCTCGCTGAGAGAGGAAGTGCGACTTTTTTATTACGAGGTTTGTGGTGTTTTAGTGTTGGCTGGTGCTGCGCTATACACGACTTATATACATTTATATGGGGTGGTAAGCATTCGCCCACATGAGCGGCTCTAGCTACAGGTTTTGGGGACCAAGCCATTTTGCCAAATTACGCAACCCACTCCGCATTTCTTCTTGTCATTGGGGTTGGGTCACAGTGTCTGCCATTAAAACAGCACTACTGTATTTATGTGAATAACTATATAAGATAGGCCAGCGGCGCACAAAAATTTTGGACCAGGTTTGGCATCGTACCGCATTTTTCACCTTAGCTTCATGTAATGGTGTAAACAATCTATATCGACCAGTACTTAAGTTGTTATGCGCATTTGCGAGGAG